TGGCATATATCCACCAGGTAGTGTGGTAGCTTGAAGCTCTGGGTCTGGATTTGTAACCATAGCGTGTGGTGTCATACTGCCAGCTGGAAAAACACTTTGAGTGGGGGAGATGCCCCACCAACAAACCTTTGTGCCTCACTACTTTTTATTGATGCTTCTGTAGTGGCAGGTAAAAACTAAGTGAAATGAAACTGGCCGATGTTTCAGCTGGACGCATGCCTATTATAAAAGGCTACATCAATTAACACAGTAGGGTTATGCATTCATTTGTATTGTATGCGTTTAAGGGATTGCCCCATACTTTCCTTCGCTTTTCTGTGCCGCGTGGATACACTGACTGCAAAACAGATGTAGCATATATGCAGCTAGCAATTACAAGCTAATGCACATTACACTGTTAGAAATAAAGGTTCTGTGCAGGTACATTTTTCATTCATCAAGGTACAAACAATGTAATTGTTCCCTCAAATGTACAACAGTGGTTTTAAAGTCCAACTGTGCACCTTATAGAAGTTTTCTTACAAAGCAAATCACCAGCTACAGCCATGGATGCGTGATCAAATTGGCCGGTTTTTGCTGCAAACGCAATCAGTAATCAGCCAATGTATTATTTTTATTGCCTTGGGGGTTTATGATGTAAATAATGCAAGTTGGTTAAAGCCACTCACTCTGTCTTTACATGCTGCTGCTGCACCGATACTGAAATGCTACAGCATAGTTATGCTTGACTGATTGTGCTAAATCAACTCTTGCATTCCATGAATTCTTAAGAATGTGGCCCATTTAGATAGCAAAAAAAATCATGTTATTATTATTATTATTATTATTATTATTATTGTTAACACACAGTACTAAAAATACACTACTGAGCTATGGGGTTAAAAAAGGCTAATAATTCACCAGAATATATGCCATCGGCCTGTTTGACTCTCTCTCTGTGTGTGTGTGTGTGTGTGTGTGTGTGTGAAGGCTCTAGCCTAAGGAACGCCTGTCAGTAGACAGGAGTGCTGTATGCATGTGTAGATAGCTTGCTGGATGGTCATTGCTGCTGGCCCTTCAGCTGGATACTTATTAAAATGGTTTTCCAAGAAATTTACTGTACACACACACACACACACACACACACACAAACACACGCACACACGGTGACCAAACATACAAGGTCATCTTCAATTACATTCACAGTTTACCCTGTGGTTAAACAAGTGAATAGTGGTAAGTGAACAGCTCTACACTACAGCTCAGAATAATCAGGGATTACAGATGTTATTAAGTAGAAATGTAGTATAAATTATAACAAAAATGAAAAAAAAAACATGTACTTTAGTCCATTTTTATTTTTCTGTCCCATTTGATCAGGACGGTTGTGCTTTACACTCAAAAATCAATAAAATGGACCAACAGAAATTGCATGAAATAACAGGAAATTATTTAATTAGGTTTTGTTCCGACAGCAGTAATACATAGATATATAGATATATAGATATACATATATAGTATACACACATATAGGTCCATTCTAAATAAAATGCAGATTTTATTTTCAGATTTGTGCTGTGCTGCACTTTGTACTGAAAACTTTAAGGTACATGATAATATACCTTATCTAATCCAATAGGGGGTTTTCCTCTAATTTCACCAAGTATACAACATTTTTTCAAATGTTTCTTAAGAAATATGACTCATTCTCATAAATAGCAGGATTCTAAATAAATCGATTTCACTGAAATAGCCCTGCATGAGTGTATTAGATTGAGTTCTTCTAAATGTGATGTAATTTGTCATCTTTAATAAGATTACAGTTAAAATGACAGGTTGAAGGATGCAGTCTGTCCCTCTGTCCCTAAAAGTAAGAGACCACCCTTTATTTATTTCATTTCCAGTCAAAACCATTAAGACCAAGTTACTCATTTTTCCACTGAAAAATACACAAAAGCCAAAGCAACTAAATATAAGATTTCAGTGTCCACTCTTTACCTTTATTACAGTCATTCAAAGAAATCTGGAGGGACATTTTTCCACACCTCCACAGTTCAGTCTTACAAGAAGCTTCTAAAGATAAAAGTAATCCAAAGCACATTTGCTCATTAATCAAATCACTGCTGAAAAATCTGATTTTGTCAGTAACTCGTCCAACAGGTTTACATGTGCTTGGATAATGATATTAAGGGAAAACTCAGAGTCTACATGAGTCATGCAGTAAGAGGATTTCTGCTTTGCAACCCACCAATAAGCTTACAGAAGAAGGAGGAAGTGTGCTGTTTACATGACCACTTGAATAATCAGATAACTGCCAATGTCTGATAATGATCCTGGTAATCAAGATTATTGATGTGCAGGTCTGGACTCTGGGGTGGTCAGTCCATTGCTCGAAGAACATCAGCAGCTTCTTTGTTTGATGTGTCTGTCTCCTTTTCTCAGTAAGAGCTTCTTGAACAGCTACATATCCTTTCAGACCCACAGCACTGAGTTGTCTTCTCACAGTGGAAGGATGGACAGAAACACCTGTGGATTTTTTCCACAGGAAAATTAAAATAAAAAAAATCCTAATTGAATCGAGTTGTGAGGTCAGAGACTTACAGCCTTACTACTGGGGTCTGTAGTCATGCACCCAAATCGACTGCTGAAATCGAAAATGAATAAATGAAGCCTCATTAAACAGCATAAAGGCCATTCATCCTATTAACCCAAGGTCAGAGTGGGAGTGAGTGGTAAACACACCCTGAAATCCAGCGGGACAGTGCGAGTGGTCTGACCTCTGATAAAAGGCAGGATTGATCATTTTGGCCTAAGCCAGAGGCGCGTCGATAAGAGCACTTGGCACGTTCACGCTGGCATTGATCGGCCTGTCTGAGCTGTAGGGACTCCTCAGGAGCCACGAGGCAGCCACGGCAACAAGACTCCTCTTACAAGGAGATGCTTTTCACCAGAATAATCTTAGCCCAGATATACAGAACCATCGACAGATCGATCACATTGGTTTGACTTTAGCTTAGGCTTCAGAGGTTTTGGGGTTGTTTTGGCACAAATTTAGCCATGTCTGTATCTACCAGCTAGCTACGTATCCCTATATCTCACGGCGCTATCATGCTGGCAGGGTGAAAGACCAGCATGAACTTCCTCTGAGACAAATGAAAAACTTCTCATATATCATTGGACAGCTTAACACGCTTGGAGGAGAACACTAACTGTTATTTCTGTTATGTCAGCTAACAAACAGAGAGGGGGGGGCATTCAACCTACCCAGAGACAGTCTAATCTCCTGATTATAGGGCCAACATATTGCATATGAAAACCCAGTTTTTTCAGAATTTTAAATATGATTTGATTTCCCTAAATAGTTGGTATTTATTCCCAAATCAAACTTACATACTGGTTGTGATTTGTTAAACACTTCTGGTCATGGTGTTGTTCCAGGAAGCAGATTTTCCACACTTTCTGAGAAAGTAATGTTTCATTTTTTTAAGTCAGTCATTATTCTGATCCCCACTAAGTCAAAATATTCAGTAAATAAGATGATATAATGAGTCTGAACCTGAAACAAAAAAAGATTAAAACACTTTTTTCTCTTATCTGGTGGAAACATAAAAGCATGTGATCCAGACATGTAGTTATATTGTGCTACTCATAGGTTAACTACTAATAAGTTATGCTTGTCTTATTTGCAAGTGAGTTCTTAGTAGATAAGCCGCTAAATTGGCCACCTCCACCAGCGAAACGTTACTCCACTGTTAATAATTAGTGCCTCTCTTAGTAAATCTGCCCTCATGTTTGTTACTTCATAACACCGAAATCTTCACTATTATTCTAAAATCTGGAAAACAGTAAACACTAAGAAAAGCCCATCTGTGAGTGCAACAGTTACAGCTTAGTTGCTAGTGAGGTGCTGTAAATATACAGTATTGTACTGTAAGACAATCATAAAATAACAGTATCTACTGAAAACACAGTATGTTCCTGTATATCTACAGTAACACTCAACATGTTTTTATAGCTAAAGAACACAGAACATGTAAAATTAGACATTGGATTACTTCAATTGGATTGGCAAAGATCTTTGCATGTAAACGCAGCCTGAGACTCTGAATTTACAACTAACTGTTTTACACTGGCAGGTGTGTCCAGACTTTTGAGTGGCACTGTGTATCTCATACCAAAGCACACCAAGCCTGTGACTGCATTTTGGTAGCACTGTATTCATTCCATCTCACTCTCGAGGAGAGTATCCTAGTTATTAGAGCTCTAACTCTCTCTAAAACGGACAGGTATATTATTGCCTGTAATCCACTTCTGTGCTTTAACTAGATGCAGTGAATCCAACTCTGCGGAGCTCAAGCTTGTAACTCTGTCAGCTGAAGGTTTAAAAGGTGGAAGGTTAGGAATATTTAGCTCAGAAACCAAAAACAGGTCTTCATAAACTGTCTGGAAAAGCCTCTGAATAAAGGTTTATGAATTGTAGATTTTGCTAAAGAAGTTTTTCTGAGGAAAATAAACAGACAGCCAAACTGTGTTTGTATAACCTCTACAGTTCATCTTCTCACGACTACTTAATAGTAGCTTGTCAGACTTGTGATTTTTTTGTGCTTAAAACTGTAAAAGTAGCTACAGTACATGCTGTAAGATGAGGAATACAGATCCATTTGTCCTGTAAATCTCACAGGTTGTAGGAGTGCAACCTTTTTTTAGCTTTCCTTAAATTACATTCAACTAAATACCGCTTGAATTCACCTTAACTGTTCCTCAGTGCTAATCGTAACACCTGGTTACATTTGCTTTAAATGAAAGCTTTAAGTGCTGTTTATCTGATTGGGACAGTGTTGGTGTCTACCAGGTCTTCCAGGTGGTTGTTAAGAGTCTTTTAATCATTTTTGAACTTCAAGTACATCATCTTCTCTCTAGTGAAATATCTCCTGAAAAAAAACATTATGTTCTACTTCATAGCCACTTTGACTGGAAATTAAATAAACAAAGGTCCCTGACTTGCTGTATTTTGCTCTTACCCGTAACGTGCAGCTCATCTCCGCTCACTTCGATCTTCAGGTAGAGTCGTCCTCGCCGCTCAGTGTGGTCCGTTCCACACAGGCTTGGCACATTGAGCACACACTGCTTATGGACGTTCATATCACAGGCTGCAGACATGGACACAGACAAAGTGGTCAATATCTGTATTAGCAGAGCCTGAAGGGCGTTGCTTGCTTGCAGCAATGATCTAGAAACAGCTTTGCCAAAAAAATATTTTACACATTCATTAAAATCCTTCAATTCTAGTCTTAGTATCGAGTTAACTTTACGACGCATTGTTTAGTAACTATAATAAATTATCAATATATTTTACCCAGAGAGGCCTAAAACATAAAAACCCGCAGAACACTGTACACTGACAAAGCACAAAGATACTTGTTGTAATCATTTTAACTAATTAACTTTAAGGAACTGAGCATCTCGCAATTGATCTGTTCCGATAGTTTGGTGACAGCCCCTCAAACTCATTTGTATCTGCCGCCAGAGGAGCTACAGTCTGTGCACGGCCACGCTGGCCACATTGAAACGTATCAGCGTGTAGATCAGAGAATTCTGTGAGCCACCGTATTATATAAATAAATTATATATATACACTGATAAGGCATAACATTATGACCACCTCCTTGTTTCTACGCTCATTGTCCATTTTATCAGCTCCACTTACTATATAGGTGCCCTTTGTAGTTCTACTATTACAGACTGTAGTCCATCTGTTTCTGCTGTGTCTGATCCACTCAGACCAGCGCAACACACACTAACACACCACCACCACATCAGCGTTACTGCGGTGCTGAGAATGATCCACCACCTAAATAGTACCTGCTCTGTGAGGGTCCATGGGGGTCCTGACCACTGAAGAACAGGGTAAAAGGGGGCTAACAAAGTATGCAGAGAAACAGATGGACTACAGTCGGTAATTGTAGAACTACAAAGTGCACCTATATAGTAAGTGGAGCTGATAAAATGGACCATGACCTTAGAAACAAGGAGGTGGTCATAATGTTATGCCTGATTGGTGTATATATATATATATATATATATATATATATATATATATATATATATATATATATATATATATATAAACATCTAAACATCTAAACAATCCTCTAACCTAACAATATATATAACCTAAACAATCATCTAAACATTCAGTTCTTCCAGAATAAAATGAATACATCATTAAATATCTGTTGAAATATCAGTCAAATCTACACTTCTGCCCAATTTAGCTGATTAATTTTAAGCAATTAACAGCCGATGCTGAAATAAATCAGATATAATTGTGCATTAATGATGTGTGACTTGTGTTCCTATTTGCGCGTTTGCATGTTCACAGTTATTTTCTACTCTATGTAAACATAAATGTATAATTTTATTATTTTATTGTACATTTTGTAACCTAATAATAGTTTGATCATTTTGTAGTGTATGCAGTGTAAAACTTTTACGTCTTGGTTAATCGATTACGTTTGCAGTAAAGAGGAACTGAACTACTGCTTTCAGCTGGAAGAGGAAAAAATGATGACTTACTGTCACATTTCATGCCCTGGTGGATAAGGCCGTACAGCAGGGAGCCACAGTGATCGCAAAAGGTCGGGCTGCCATAGGTGTGGATTTTAAATTTATGCTTGCTCCGAGGGTCCTGGAGATGGAGAGATGGACACAAACAGAGACAGAGAAAAGTTAGAGTACATTAATCACAGATGTGATCAAATTTAGAAAGGCAATATCAAAGACAGCTGATAAACATCTGCCATCACAGCTGAGCTATTAGAGATCTCCAGTGCAGGTTGAGTCATCAAATGTTTTGACATTGCAATCCAAACAGAGCTGACAGAGTGGATGAGAGCATCTCAGAGCAACAATCCAAACTCTGAGAAAATCCCACACAACTGTGCTACAGCTTCACGGGTCACTACAGGAAACAAACGTGAAGCTGCAGAAAGGAAATGGTGCACTTTATAATGAACATCTGATAGTTTGTTAATGATTGTTATAACTATTTAATAGCAACATGTGCATTATTAAAAGGCGCCATTTGAATTATTAACCATTGATGACATACAAATAGTTATTTGATACTTTTCATTCAAAAATTCTAGTCATTATAATTCTGCGTGAATTGCAAGTTTGTGGTAAATAAACTTTTAACCTTCACCATATATATATATATATATATATATATATATAAATATATATATATATATATATATATATACCCTATTATATTGCAACTATTAGTAAGTAGCTATTTATATGAGCCTGTTATTCTACTGTTACCAATGAAACTACAGGTTTATTTTTATGGTTATAAAGGCTTTATATGCAGTCTTTACATCAGAGAGCATAACATAGGACACAAACTGCATTTATGCTGAATTAGGAAACAACTCAGTGCATCGTTTAACCAGGATTAAGGTATTTTCAGATATAATATATATCATTATGTCTTATACATTACATATCACTGCTGTTGGAACAACACCTCATATCTCCATTTTCCAGTTTTTGACATAATTTGAAAATACCTGTTGTCCTTTATATTGTATGTGGATTTCATGATAAATGGACCAAAACAAAAGAATCAGAATCAGAATCAGAATCAAGCTTTATTGGCCAGGTATGCTTACGCATACAAGGAATTTAGTTTTGGTTACAGGAGCTCACAGTGCACAGTATCAGACAGACATTTACATGTAGTGAATAAAATAAAATAAATATAAAATATAACAAAATAAAATAAAGTATGGGTCTGAAGTTAAAGTGCTGAGTGCAGCAGCAGTTAAAGGGTGTATAGTGGCAGAGAAAGGGATCAGTGAGGTAACAGTCCGATAAGTGGGGTAATAAGGCAGGTAAGTAAGATTCTAGAATAAACAGTTCCAGAGGATGGAGTTGAATTAGATACTATATACCAGTATTTATGAAGTGCAGTTTGAAGCTGGAATATTGTTTTTGTGTAATATTTTAACTGAAGAATGAAGGCTTTAAAGGCTTAAAATTACCTGAAAAAAATCTGATTCCATTGACTTGTTTTTTCCTTCGCCTGTAAAGTTACTATTTTGGTACTAATATTATTGGTATTTTGGTTTTGTTCTGACAGCAGTGATATAAATTATTATATATTCTATATTAAATATGTATTTTTTATATTTATTAAAAAAAAATGAATAACCAAGTCCGGAGGAACTTGAAAAGATCTGAAAAATGAGCACACTGAATTCTATTATAACCAATTATACTTCCTAACTTTCCAAATTCAGAATCATGTAGATACATATTCAGATCAATGCATCACAATTTCACATGACTATGAACAAAGCTACATGTCATTTTGTCCTCAGTTAAAAGAAGATGAAGAAGGAGTACATTCTTCATTCTTGGCAAACAGTGACCGAAGAAGGCCATTGATTATGTGCTGATTGCAGAGGAACAGCATTAGACCTAATCTGATTTGGCACTCAGTATTCAAGAGCGCCTTCAATCAATGAGTCTGATTGGGGGAAACCTCCAATCAAACATCGTGATTCCCTTTGATTGGGTAGATGCTAAACTGAAACACCATGTTGAACAATAAATCAATAAAAACATCTGCATTAATCTTTTTTAAATTCAGACTCAAGTTTAAAAATCTATAGAATTGTCTCTCAATTTATACTCACTGAGCGCTTTGTTAGGAACACCTCCTCGTTTCTACACTTATTATCCACTTTATCAGCTCCACTGACCATATAGGAGCACTGTGTAGTTCTACAGTTACGGACTGTAGTCCATCTGTTTCTCTGCATACTCTGTTACCCTGTTCGTCAATGGTCAGGACCCCCACAGAGCAGGTATTAGTTGGGTGCTGAATCATTCTCAGCACTGAAGTGACACTGACGTGGTGCTGGTGTGTTAGTATGTGTTAGGCTGCTCATTTGAAGAATTTCACAAATTTGGGAAAAAAAATAAAACATAATATGTGGTTGGTGTAAAAGTTATGGCACATATTATGTAAATTATTAATTTGTTTTTCCAAAAAACAAATGGAAATTGTGCACTACAGTGTGCAGAGCATGTCATTATTAAGTGTGTTCCCTGTAGAATGAAGAAACTCAAACGAAATCTTTTGGTGGTGGTCCTCCCAACCTAGCAGTGATACTGATGTGTGTGAAAACTCCATCAACACCACTGTGTCTGATACACTCATACCAGCACCACACACACTACCATGTCAGTGTCACCACACAAATAGTGATCCACCACCTAAATAATATCCGGACAACAGCAGTCCTGTGGTCAGAACCCGACCAATGATAAATAGGGCTGATAGACTGTGCAGCAACAGATGGACTACAGTCTGTAAGTGTACACCTATATAGTGGACCTATAAGGCAGCTGTTTCTAATAAAGTGGCCTGCTATTTTATATTTTGCTTATTCGTTCAGTGAACAAAACACACATCAGTTTAGCAGAAAGAAAGGAGCAGGGAGCATGATAAAGGCAGGTCACCCAAACAGGCTCATGCTTTAAATGAGTAAAAGGACTAAAGAGGGATTAAGTACCGTAATTTAGCAGATTCGCTCCATTTGATCAGCAAAAAGTACAGGGCTTTCAAACTCAAAGACAAGTGAGACACAACCAAGGGAGCGAGTGAGAGGGATTAGGATATTGCCTCTGTAAGAAAAGCATGTGTATGAGCAGCAGGTACTGAAGATTATAGATTCGTCAGCTCACTCTCAGGCAAATCCAGAGATGTGTGAAACCGTAATGCAGAGTGCACTTTGGTGTACAGTATCAAAAGGCTTTCAAATACAGCAATAATATGAATCATACCTCAGTGCTGCTAAAAAGAACGACTGAACAATTGATCCCCTGCACTCACACACACACACTAAGTTATTCCAATTGATCAGTGGTCTGTGTCCTGGAATCTCCCCTATACTGGGCTGTTTCAGGCTTTAATAATAATAATAATAATAATAATAATACTTAGGGATGCCTAATGCTATCGGCATCAGTACTGACTCCAGTCATCTGGATTTTGTTTTTAGTAAATCAGGCCACAAGCTGACACATCAGAAACACTTAAAAATCTAACTTAAATAAACATAAAATTAGCTGTGTTGATTACGATAAAACGAGACTCAGCTTGATTATCGTTATTAAAAAGAGTGAAAATATAAGTGAGAACTGTGACGGTGTCACATATCCCTCTGACTCTGACGTTCTCAAAGACTCCATTTCCCAGAACTCCTTTGGAGAGCATGACACAATAGAACCTCCACAATCCACCAATCACCATTCTCAATCACCTGGGTACTGATCTGTCTCACCTGTTCTGTTTATCATGTGACTAGATCTAGCCTAGTATATAAGCCCAGGCTTTAGACTAGTTACTTTGCGTGGTATTGCTCCTTTGCCCCCTTTTTGAGTCTTGGTTGCCTGATCTTGTTTTTCTTATGTTTGTCGTTTTGTGTTTTTTGGATCTGACCACTCCTGTTTACTGACTACAAGTTTTGTCAAGTTTAAACCCTTAACTAGTAAAGTTTTCAAGTGTGGTTTTGAGAGTATTCAGATGAACGTGAAGCACCTCATGATCCTCATTACTGACTCACTCGCTCTCATTTAGCTGGCATGGATGAGCGTGGATTCCAGGAGGGATCAGTTTACCACCCTTTAAAATTTCACAACTGGCTAATTAACACCCAGTACCTCAATAAAATGCTGTTAGTTTAAAAAATATGTGCTATTATAAGATATTTTATTAACATGATCCATCATTAACATGGAGAGGAATTTGTGCCAAATTGAAAAGAAATAACTACACTCAAAAAAATAAGAAATGCAATGCAAACATGAAACTACATTTCCATGGTGATGAGCAGAACACATGCCAAAATGAAAAATAACACAACCTCTGTTACAGTTTTCACATTACTTGACCTCTTTACTGAAAAACGTATATGAATATTTTCATGTAAAAAATGAAATGCTGAATTTGTGTCACCTTGAAACATAATGAAGGCACAGCCATCCCGCAGCGCTTTAAACAGATTTCCCTCATTTAATTGCGGTCATAACAGTGACAATATTGAAATCTAAGACACATATGGCGTTACTTTTCACAGGTGGTGTGTGGAATATGCACCACAATAAAAAGCAAAACCTTTGCTACAAAGCTTCCATTTCACTTGACCTCTTTTTTGGACTTTTGGAAAGCAACCACAATAGTGAAATGCATTGCACACAAGATTGCAATTAACAACTAACGTGGGGAAAACGTGCCAAAATAAAAAGTAAGAGATTCTTTACATTGATTTAACATTGTTTGAAATACTGCACAGTGCCTTCAAGGTGACAACAGCTGTGCCATTACATTTCAAGGACTTTATTCAATTCTGACATTAATTCAGCATTTCATTTTTAAAATGCAAATCCTCATGCGCTGTTTTGTGTTCTGCATGTCAGTACAGAAAAGTCATGTATGCATCGCGTTTCATGTTTTTCACTGTAGTGACTGCTTTCCAATTTGGCAAATTCCGCTGTATATTCATCATGTATAATAATAAAATATCTTTTAATAGCATAGATTTTTAAACTAATGATATTTTGGGATGAACTAGAACAGAGATTGCGAGCCAGGCCCTCTTGTCCAACATCAGC